AATGTCAGGCTGCCTGACCTGAGCAGATGACAGCGGTTGGGGGTGGGGAACTGCAGCTCAGTTACCTGGAGAGCTTTACAAAAAGAGATCCTGGACCCATCTGAGGACTGAGTCAGCAAGTCCAAGATGGCAGGGGCCAGGGATAGGTGTAGCTGATGAACTTCCGATCCTGCTGGGTCTGCCCTGCTCCTCCTGGGATTTTCTTCAGAGACGCTCAGGTGACAGAGGAGAGAGCAGATTGTAGTGACAGCCTGGAGAACAGGGTCTCTGCAAGCCGACGTGAACCTGTGTGTGCAAGAAAAGGCTAAATGGCAGGTTCCTGAGTGAAGAGTTTGTATAATGTGCCCAGGAAGACACTCATGGACAGGGTGAACGGCAGATGTTGAACCCTTGAAGACTACAGGATCAAGGGAACTGGAAATAAGAAAAGCAACAAGAAAGAAAGATGGGGTCCCAGGTGCCCTTGGGGTCCCCTGCTCATTTAGCACAACAGTTGATATTGAAACTTTCCTAGCAAATGCCAACAGTTTGATAGGTTTGAACAGCTTTGGAAGTGAATCAGCCCCAAGTTCTTGTAAGAATTCCTCCCTCCTTCCTTCTCATCTGATCTCCTCCTCCTCACACAAGCTGTTCTCAGAGCACAGATTAGGCCTGTCTGCCACAGCAGAACCATATTTCAGATATCTTATGTAACATTTACTTATTTTCAGAACCTTCCATATCTTAATTGCATAGGTCTGGCCTTTTGTCTATTTCCCCCCTTCATCTATATTTACCCTTGGCGTAAACTACCGCTTTTGCTTCTGCCCTCTATCCCTTTGCTGCCCTTTACCCTTTACCGCCAGCTTCTTCTCTTTTTTGTCCCCATCCCTTCCCTCCTTCTTGCTTTCTTGGTATTACATACAGTGTTAGCTCTTCACAGCCCATTGACACCCATCTGTTCTCAGGCTAGCTCTCCTTGGCTTCGTGGCGGGAACCTGGATGTCAAGTCCAGATCCCTTAGCCTGGTACAATGAAGAGTGACCGCCTTGTCCGGGCTCACCTGTTAGCCCCCACATCCCAACAAGCAGCCTCAGAAGACCTAAAAAAATAGCAGGGGCTCCGGTCGTGCTCCCCTCCCTTTAGTCTCCCTGCTGTATGCCTTTTTGGTCTTGGATTTGGAAAAGTCTGGAGTGGTTCATCACTCCAAGTCAGCCTCAAACAGCCCTGGTCTGTCTGCAGCCTGAATTAGAGCCCTGGGAATTAGTGATCTGGGGGAGTTCAAGACTAAAGGCTGCCTGAAACCGTGTGGGCTTTGTGGACATGGCCTTGACATCCCCTGCAGCCACCCAAGGCCCTCCTAGAATTCCTCCTTCCCGGGCATTCTTCCTCCAGGGCACTGGCACCGATGACGGATGGGGCTTACATGCATGTACGTTCCAGACTCTGTTTCTGGGGTTGAGCCCCATCAATGTACAAATCCTTGACCAAGAAGTGAATTAATCTATAACTGCCCAAGAAGTGCATGTAAAAAGCATTTAGTCTTTCCTTTTCACTGATGGCTAAAGGGAGAGAGTTTGGTTGGATCCAAGACGATCGGAATTTGTGTAACATTAGGAGAAAAGTGTTCCAATAATTAAGATATTTTAGAGAAGTCCAAAAACCAACTTGGATAAGGGGAGTTCCTCTTGCAGAGCTGTGGTTGGACTCCAGCAATGCTACCGAGACTCTCATAGCTCAGCCCTCTCAGGAGTTTGCCCAGCAAACATGGACTCAGATAGGATGCAAGAGGACGCCTGAACCTGAATGAACAAAGCGAAGGATTCTGAATGTTTGCATCCGTTTTCTTGTAGAGGTTTTGGCTCAAGTAATCTGTAATGCCATTTACTTGGTTGTGACTTGGTCTGAACTCCTTAAGAGGTGTCTTTTTCATTTCTATTTCTGCCGTGGTCACTTCTTGGACAGCCTTCCAGGAGGGGGCACTGCTACTGCTGAGCACAGGCAGGGACGGCCTAGGAGTCTAGGCACAGGGACCTTTTCTGCGTAGGCAGGAGGGAGTGTGGGTTAATAAAATGGGAGCCTACTACTTAAAGTGAGGTGAAATTACTTATTTTTTCATGTATATCCAAAATTCTGCATACTCTATATATGTGTAATTCATCCTCACAATTGTAGCAGTCATTTTATTTTTGAGATTGAACCACCCAGACTTGTCATGACAGGAGCTACAAACGCACATGACAGAAGCAGGAGATTAAAGAGACTGGAAAGTGGTTCTGTGTATCTGTGGTGGGGGCGGGGGAAGAGGTCGGGGGCAGAGAAGACACAGATTTTTCTTCTTTTGACAAGAAAACAACCACCTGAATGACTCAGTTGTGTCTGTTCTTTTTAAGCAACACTTCAGAGACTAAGAAAGCAATGCTGAGCTTATCCTGTGATTTAGTAGGAGACAGTATAAACAAGAAATGGGTTTAACCTGAGAGAAACCAACATCAGAAAGAGATTTCAGATTTATAAGGGACCAACTGGCTCCTGGATCTAAAATGTACCTACATGCTTAGGAGAGTCGAGTCTCCCATCAGGGGCTGGTTCCCAGGCCGCCCTGCTGGGAGAAACGCAGAGGCCTGGGCCCGCTGCAACCACGCCTTGTGTCTCCGCAGATGGTACTTTCCGCTTTGACAAAGTGCTCTCCCCCCCTTGCTGCCTTCCCCAGAACTACTCTTAGATTTGTGAAAGTGTCATAAGGTGTTTACATAGTATCATAAGGTGTGAGAATGTTATGTGTGCACTGCAATAATTCACGTGAATGCAGGAGTTGGCTGCAATTTATTGTCTCAATGAATGGGCTGTGTTCTTAACGCATCAACATCAGAACCTACTCATGAAGAAATGTACAACAAGATCTCGGCTTTTGTATTATTCTAATTCTTGATTGTTTCAAATGAAGAGAAAGTACGAACAGAAGAATCGCCTGTGTGCATGCATTCCCTAGGACAGCCCAGGGTGCAGAGGAAAGGCCAGCCCAGCCCCGAGAGACCTCACGTCCTGCAGATTTGAAATTAGGCTGAGCTCAGTTCAAGATACTAAGAACAAAGCAAGCAAAGATGCTCTTGTAAATAGTCAACTGAGCCTGTTAGAAGGTGTCTTTCAGAGCTTGGTATGAGGTATTAGGTTAAGATAGTAAATTAATAAGGAATTCCAAAATTTGCTCCCCAATCTAAAATTTGTTGTTCTCTTCTTGTTTACCTTGACTAGGCTTTCACACACACTCACTCCCTGCCCCCCATGTACCATCATTCCCACCCCACCTTGCTTCACATTCCACAAACAGGCCAGATACCTAACTCCTAAGTAGAGCATTTGGGTCTAATAAACAGAAAAACAGTGGGACTTGTTCATCATCTCTTCAATCTTTATTTGCTACTTTCATTCCTTTATCCTACCAGTGCAGGTTGCAGAGGACAGCAGGAAGCCACGTGTGAAGAGGCACGTGCCAGCCAGCTGAGTGATGCCAACCATAGCCCTGGGCATCGTAGAGGTGACGGGGCATCAGCCTCTGGGCCTGGGGCGTAGACTGCATACCGAGAGCCCAGTAGGGAAGGCCACCTCCCACAGTAGTTCGGCCTTTGAAACATGAACAGTTGTATTCTTTGTCCTTTTTTCTTTAATAAACAAAGAAAACCAAAACCTTCTATAATTTATAAGCTATTTTTTTCTATCTACATTATATAGAAAATATAGACTCTGTTTACTTTATAACACACATCTTTTTCCCTTGATAAATAATTCTTTAAAATATCTAGTATACATGCCTTGACTTTTTATACATAAGTTTGGTTTTATACATATACACACATAAATACTCAGCTTCTTTTAAAATCGACTTTCTAAGTTGATTTTGATTGTAGGTGATGAAGCAAACTGCAGAATTGGGCATTTCAAAATTTCATTAGCCAATTATAGATGGCCTTGGAGTGTGCTCTCAGTGGTCTGAGTATAATGTAGGAAAATCTTTTTTCTCAGGGAGTGGGCTTTTTAAGTTCATTTGTCTGTGACTCAGAATTAAGTGGTGCATTGCATTTGTGCCTTCATACCCTCTTCATCTTGTCTCATGGCCACGGCTGTTGAATTTGACCTGTAAATTGGTAAATTCAGTTTCTGATCCGCCTTTATTCTGGTGGTGGTGATGGAGGGGTGGCGGAGATTCAGCCTTGCTGATGACATCCTGGTTTGTGAAAGGAAATCCAGTGGCATCTGAAAGACTCCCAGAGCCCAACATCCTTACTTACTTTATTGTATACCTTCCTCCCCCCACCCAGAGGTTAAGTGATGGCCAAGGTCACACTGATTTTAATGGTAGACCCAGGACTTGGAAGCCGAGTTTTCTGCCTCTGAGTCACACCCTGCTGCACACAGCACTCACACTCAGCTGGGGAGGGGCTCCAAGGCAGGATGACTGGCCAGTTAGAGGAGCCGCAGTGAGAACACAGACCTGCGGACGCACTGGATTCCCTGAGGTGTTGCAGCTGAATCAGTTTTCTAGAAACTCGTCTATATCTTGAATGTATTCATAAAAGCTAGCAGTTTTAAAACTTCCCACTGTGACTGTGATGTTATCTTTCATTTGTACGGTTCTTGGCAAGGATGGGGCCATAATTCAGCTGTGGGCCTTCGGGATTTCCTGAGGCCAGTCTACTTACATTTCCCCAGCACCTCTCCTAGACACAGGTCTAGCTTGGGACTCTGCTCCGCCCACTGCTGACTTTTTTTGGCCATCAAAGCCCTGAAATTTATGGGACAGAGGTCACAACATTGGAGAGCTCAGTTTTAAAAATGCATCAAAGCCCCGCATTTTAATTTGCTTTGGAGAACGGGGAGGAGGGCACCGAGAGAGCTGTGTGGTCCACAGTGTGGCTTCGCCTGCGCCAGAAGCTGGCGTGCCCGCCCTAGCAGAGAAGTGGGCGGGGGTGGGGGGAAGCACTCGGTTTCAGGGGACAGCCTTGAGTCAGGCTCCCCGGACTTCTTACAGGACAAGTGAGCCCCCCCACACACACACACTCTGCTGCTTCGAGAGGTGATGGGCTCGAGTGCTCCCACTGGAGTCTGGAGGTGCAGCCACTACCATACCTGAGTGACCGTATCAGTGACAGTGGAAAGCGGTAGCCTACTGACCTTTTCCTCCCCCTTCACAGCCCTATTTTCTGGAGCCCTCAGGAGGACCACTGCAGCGTCTGGCTCCCAGGCTACTACAGCGTTTACACCAGCAGTGGGCAGGAGTAACAGCCACATCCTGTGCGGTGGCTCTGTGCCTGGTGTGGCGATCCCAGGCTTGCTGGGCGGTGGCCAGGGCCGACAGAAAAACCGTGGTCACACTGTCTCTGCCTGATCGTTGTCACTCTGGGCAAGTTTCTCTTCCTTTCAGAGCCTCAGCTACCTCATGAGTAAAATGGGAACAATACTCAATACAAAGGGTTGTTTTTATGAATTAAATGAGATAATGTGCTTAAAACACCCTGCACACAATGGATATCAAGAAATGTTGAGGCGCAGGGAGTACGCGGGTGGCCCTCTGCGGAGGGAAGAAGGCCCTGGGAGAAGTTCATCTGGAGTGGGAGTTGGCCGAGACTACCACCAGGGTCCAGACACAGCTGACACAAAGGTATTTGCTGCAGGCAAACTAACGAGGTTCTGTGGTTCCCGCCTCACCCCTCCCATTTAAGGGAGAGGTCATGGAGAAGCTGACAGTGGTCATGGACTCTCTTTCTGCAGAGGAAAACAGAGAATCCAGAAAAGCCCAGAGCACGCCCACATGCTCTGGATGCCACGTCAGAACCCCTGGCTACTTCCTCTCAGAATTTGGGATTTGGGACTTCTGCAGGGGCAGCCAGCAGCATGAGCCAAAATTTCCAGTAGTGGAGACATCCACACAAGGATGGAACAAATCAGCAAAGGAGACGAAATGCGATGAGCCCAAAGTGGTGCCTCTACTATGCCGGCTCCTTGAAACACACTGAACAAAGTGGAAAGAGCTGGAATATGGCTGGGACTTGTCCTAGGTCAGTCAGCAGATGGTACCCAGATCCCCGAGAGCACTCCTAGGTGCTGGGCTTGGTTTCAGCAAGCTCTGTTGAAAGCTTGAGCTTTTAGCCTCCTACTGCAGTCGAGTCTCTGCAAGTGGTAGGAGGGGAGCAAAGGGAGTAGTAAAGACCCATTTACTGTCATTCTTGATTTTAAAAAATGAACTCTCTCAGTCCTTTCTCCCTCTCATTCCTGCATCTACCTACTACATGCATGTCAGTAGATAAGATTTAAGTACACTAACTAAAATAATTTTCATGCTTTTTAAAAGAATATATATTCTTTCTATATATCCCAACCTCAAAGAAGAATTTTTGTTTTAGACACTGAATATTTATCACAGAGCTCAGAAGCCTTTTGGGGGGAAATAACTCCTAAGTATTTTGGTTAAGTACAGAAACTTAAAATTGAAACCCCAGGAAAATCCCTACTTAGATTATAAATGACTTAGAAAAATGACCCATAGAGTCATCTAGTTTCCTTTTCCTTCACCCTTAAGCACAGCTTTCCAGGCTAGCTAGGGGGAAAATTGTTCTACTCAGTTTCCACAAAAGCTATCCAGAGGGCAGTTTAGGAGAACCTGAACCAAAACGGTCCATGGCATGGCCCTCTGCTCAAATTACTGCTGGGAGACTTCCATTCTACCAAGTCTCTAGTTTTGAACTGATAACTACAAAAGCTTGACATTTCATCATGAAGTCTGAAAACGGATCAGGGACTATAATGCACCGCGGACAGTTTCAGCTGACTAACCTTACCATGCTGGAGTAAGGGCCCCGAAGTAGGGCGATGTCTCCAGGAAGGCACACCGTACTCCTCTGCTGGAAAACGACCACCACAGCCATGATGTTTGCACACCCACACTGCACCCGTGGGCAGCCAGGCTACACCCGTGGGCAGCCGGGCTACACCGTAGATGGACCCTGGGAGGAGAATGGTGGATGCAACTGATGGTTTGTTTCCAGGGACTGCCTACTCAGAGCCTGGGGGTGGCCTCTCCCTTTAAATTTCCTTCTGGTTCCACTCCATGTGAAAGGAAGTCTAAACCTTAGTTGTGTGAGCTGCGAACAAAAGTTATGCAGACTTGTAAGTCCTGGTTTCTACAGCCAACCTTGACATGCCTTCTGTGGGATGAAGGACTAAGAAAAGATAAAAGGATAATTCCCCCATTTTCAAAATGTATTTGACTTGATCTTTCTTAAGAGCCATTTTAGTAATACTTGGTGGCAGTTACAAACCCATGTGTGTGTGTGTGTGTGTGGGTGTCTCAGGTTGTTCCCCTCCGCTGCCTGCTCTGAGCCTGCAGTTTGCCGTCTCCAGTAAAAGCTCTGTACGCAGAGGGTGACATGACAGACAAGAGACCAAGGAGTAGAAGAATGTTTTTTCCACCATCAGCTTCTCAACCCTACATGAAGATAAACCTGAGAGAGCTCTAAAACCCCATTTTTGAAACACTAAAAATTATGTTCCTTGTCCTTTTTTGTTTTGTTTAACACCTATTAAAATCTTTTCAGGTATCAGAATCATGAAAGGAAAGGTCAAAGCTAGGGAAAAGAGCCTTGACTTTTTTTAAAAGGAAGAGGATTATATCTGAATGGAACTGAAGACTTCCCTTTTACATCATCCATCCACAAAGCTGCACGAAACTCCTACAGCCCTTCCCCAGCTGGGCAGGAGACAGGAGTTGGAGCACAAAGCAAGCCCAGGGCCGGCTCATTTTCCCCTGTGCTGGGAACTCCCACTGCGGTACTGGGGCACACAGCGGCCCCGTTCTTGAGGCAGCAGATGAGCTTGGAGTCAGACCCACAGCTCCTGCTGCCTCCTGGGCCCCACTGGGGAGCCAGGAGAAAGGACGGCTTCGCACTGAATCCCGCTTGCACTCAATGCTACTCCACCGGAAGTGGTTATAGGATGGCTTCTTGCAGTTGTTTAATTGCTGGCAAATTCAAAGACGTTATTCTCTGCCTCATCTATGTCCATGCAGGGTGTGTTCTTGCTCTCTCCGCCTCCTGTTCCAGGCACTCCCTTCCCACCTCAGGCCAGGTGAAGGGCAGTGGACCCATTAGGGAGACACTCTCTCCCACTTCCTATCGACCAAGAAAGCTGCACTTTGCTGCCAAGTACTTTTTCCTTCACACACTTACAGTGGATTCCTAGAATTTGAACTTTCTCAGTAACCCATTGCACCCCCACCTTTCCCCAGGCTAGCAGGCTTGTGTAGACATGTGAGGATGTGCCTTATCCTACTAGTTTTGGGGGAGGGGGATGGGATAGGGAGCCTGCACCAGCTGAGCTTGACCTCACAGGAGCATTTGGCTTGCAAAGAAGCCAAGGTGTGGGGAGTGGACGAGATGAGGAAAGCCACCCCTCCTTGCTCCTCACAGTAAAGGGCAGCAGAGGCAGCTAAACCTCCTCCCTCTCGTGCAAATGCCCAGCAGGGCTGATCTCAGGAAGGCAGACCCTCTGAACACTCCCAGGCTATTTACTCAGCATCCTAACAGTCTTGTTTGGGGCCCTTCATCTGGGCTGGGGTTCACCCCCCCAAATGCCATTTATTCCCATTGTCCTTCCACCTCCCCACTTCCCCATCCCCACACTCCTGGAGGCCACCTCTCCGCAATGCCTTTCCCCGACTCTGGACCCCACACAGAAGGCCTAAGTCCCCAGTCTATGCTAACAGTACAGGGACATCCTGCTCCTGCGCATGGCCTCGCTGATCAGGTAGGCGGGGCTCAGCTCCGGCTCCTCCGTCATAATGGCAATGTTCTGCCACTCGCCCGTCCGGCTGGACCTCTTGATGGTGTCTACCACGCACAGGGCATACAAGCAGTCGTCGAAGGTGGCGGCCATGGTGAGCGGCCGGCCGTCCCACGTGCGCCGGTCATCCTGGTCCTGGAAGGCCTGGCGCACAGCCTGCATCATCTTGATGGTGCCACGCAGGTAGGGCGAGGGGATGTCACTGAAGGCCTTCTCGGGCAGCAGGGAGTTGCTGACAGGTGTGGAGTCCTGCAGAAGCAGCTCCTGCTCCGGGGAGCTATTGCGCTGCCCGTACAGGTCCGTGCCCACCGCCAGAAGGCGCCCGGCTGAGCCCACCACAGTCACATCCTGCTTGAACTCACCGGGCACGTTGAAGTTGAGGGTGACAGTGCAGCACACCCCACCCTCCAGCACCATCTGGAAGGTGCAGAAGTCGTCGCTGGTGATCTGGCGGATGCCCTTGATGTGGTCGGTCTGCTTCACGAAGGTCTTGAGCAGCCCGTGGACCTTGACGGCCTTCTGGCCGGTGAGGAAGGTGAGCAGGTCGATGATGTAGGTGCCCACCGAGTGCAGGCCGCCCCCGCCCATCAGGTCGTCGCAGCTCCAGTTGTACTTCTTGCCCAGCAGGCTGCCACTGTGCACCTGCACCTCGCACACCAGCAGCTCGCCCACGTAGCCCTCCTCGATGAGCTGCTTCATGCGCACGAAGGACGGCAGGAAGCGCAGCACATTGCCCATGATGCTCATGAGCTTGGGGTAGTAGTGGGCGGCGGACATCATGCGGAAGGCGTCCAGCGGCGTGGCTGTGCGGTCGCAGATGACGTTCTTGCCGATGCCTGCGGGCAGGAGGAAAAATAGCAGATCAGGGCCTGGATGCGGAGGGAGCGGTAGGGGGCGCTGTAGCCCCCAGACATTAATTCTTGGAGTGGGAACCAGACCGGATAGGATATCCTTATTACATGAAATAATTTATAACACTTTTTATTTATGCAAAAATAATATAGTCTATATATTTCAATATTCTATATATTTATTAAATAGCTAAGTTAATTACTTAATTTTAGTATAAACCATCAGCATCAATTTAAATATTTTAATATTTTAAATAGCCTATATTTTAGAAATATTTAAAATATAATACCTCATTTAGTATCTTATGTAAGTTTAATATTTTCTATACAAATGTTACTTGTAAAATATATTTATTTATTTATTTATTTATTTATTTTTTATCCTCACCCGAGGATATTTCTCCATTTTTTGTACAGATAGAGTGGGAGGGAGAGAGAGAGAGAGAAACATCGACGTGAAGGGACACATCGAGTGGCTGCCACCCGCACGACCAACCAGGGCCGGGGACAAACTGCAACCGAAGTACGTGCCCTTAGCGGGAACCGAACCCGGGTCTCTCCGGACCGCAGGCCGACGCTCTAACCGCTGAGCCAAACTGGCCAGGGCTATATTTAAAATATTTAAATATAAAATATGAGCTCTATTAAAGTATGCAATGTAATCTTTTTACATTTAATATGAATTATGTTGTATTAAAATTATATTACATATGAAATGCTTTAAGTTGTATTCTTTATGTAAAATAAAATTTTATTTAAAATGTATTGTTAAAAATATCACATGTGGAGAAAAGAGTAGTTTCTCTATCTGGACAAAACCAGAATAGATAAGCTTAAAGCAAGGCCAAGGTCATTCTTTTTAAGTATGAGAAAGAATTTCTTAATGATATCCTTCAAAGGCTTAAGCTTTTAGCTGTCTCCTCCACAACCACCAACAAAGGATTATCCTTTGAATGTCATCTTGCTTGTTTACTTTGTGTTATGGTAGAGCTGGCAGTGGTCACAGACGTGTTCGTTTACCGTTTCCTGCCCCCTTCCCCGGCAGGGCAGATAGTATCTGAGGGGTGGGCAGAGGCTGGTTCCTCCCTCTGCCATCTGTCTCATGGTGGGTTTAGTGCTTTTAACCAGTGGAGCTGAGGCCAAATAAGAATGAGGCTGTGTGATGACTGGAATGAGTGCCTAAATCACAGGTAGATGCGAGCCCTGCAGGACTCCAGACTGAGGGTTCTGGGTGTGGAGAAAACAAAGGGCCAGAGGAAGAGAGTAACGGGAAGGACAAAGGGATTTATTCCGCAGAAGCCAAGAGTCGGGAAGAAAAACAACTCAGTGAACCTGGGGAAACAGCCAACTGGAATTCAAAATAACACAACAATAAGAGAATTATACAAATTTTGTTAGCATGTCAGACGAAAGAATGCTGGGTGAAAAGACATGGGGAGCTTCTGAGTCAGGGCACATGGCTGCCTGCGGCAGGGCTCTGTCATCCAGTCATGCTCTGCACACAGACCCTCTAATGGGGACCTGGACTCTCCAACCACAGACACGGGAGATGCCACAGGGCATTGGGGTGATGAGACACACAAACCCATCCCAGATGTCCTGACTGGGCGCCCAATTGGATAAAATCCATGAGACTGCACCACAAGCTAAGCTGAGATGGGATTCTGTGGACACTTGGACGAGGCCACAGCCTGGCACATCACATGGCTCTCGTTTTCCCATTGGAAGAAACAGTCAAACAACAGACACAGAACAGAGTGTAGAAATAAATACAGTCAGTGGCTATCCATTTCAATGTGCACATCTAATGCTGGCCCTGGGTGAAAGGCCCGGAGGGTACACAGTGACCACAGCTCCTTAGCAGGAAAGCAGATGGTTTTCCTGATGACCATGAATGAGCAATAAGAAGCACCCTTAACTTCCAGCAACCAGGCCCCAGCAGAGCGGCGAGGAGACAGTGGTCTAGGTTACCAGGAGGGCCACGCACCTGCATAGCCCAATGTTCTGAAAACACAATCCTGTAGGCATTAGGCTTATGTAACACCAGCTCAGGCGGGCAGGAGCAGATTAACATGTAAACTAATTGGTAGGTCACATGTAAACTGCAGGGACAGGTGACAGATGCTGCAAAAATCTACCTCATACCAGTTGGGTACAGGCTGTGCTGTGGCCTCTCCTGTACCCTACTTCAGTGTCCCCAAAACCAGGACCCCTGACTGCCATCTCTTTGTTACATACACTGTATTGGTCATATTAATGGCACATGAAACAATGTTTATCTTATTTCTGTTATAAAACTATAAAATAAAATAGTGAAAATAAAACATAAATTGAACATTTAAATTCATGCCCTCTCCCCAGAAACAATCATTGGATGGGTAATTCTTTGCAGCTCTGTAGATGAAAAGATTCTGATGAAAGCTAGACTCCCTCTCTAGAAAAGGCAATATGAACATACACACAAAACTGCCCCATTCCGAACTCACACATGGCTCCCCCAAGGTTCCGAGGCGCTTTATGTATGTTGTTGGTTTCACACTACACAATAAAGGTGATAAAGGCTGGGTCTTCCACGGTGCCCACAGCACCTAGTGGTGTGTCCTGCGGTTTGCAGGAATGCAGCGAGCGTTGATGCTCGGCTTCACCTCTCTGCCCAGTCTTCTGCAGCATCCACACTTTATAGATAGCTCTCAGCAACATCTTAACTTACAGCATCTTCAAAAGTCAAAAGCGTCTTCTAGGAATCTATCATAAAGAAATAATCTAAAACGTAAGCACAGCTTCTTGCCCAGAGATGCTTCTCATACATTATTTATTAAAGCAAAAAGCTGTGAAAATGCAAATGCCCAAAGCTAGAAGAATGGGTAACTACACTGTAGTGCAGCCACATAATGGAATGTCATGCAGCCACTGAAAATGATGCTTATAGAGACTGTTTAATGGCAAGCAAGATGATTATGATGTCATGTTAAGTGAAAAGGGCTCCATTCATACACAATGCCATGATCTCAACTCCCTCTCTGAAAGACAAAAGAAAAGAAAAGAACTTGGACGGACTACCTCCAAATGTTTACAGTGGTTAATTGATTAGTAAGATTGTGACTGATTTTTATTTTCTTCACTACATTTTTCTACCTTGTCTAAGTTTCTACTTTTCTAGTCAGAGAAAAACAAATTTTCTTTTGTAAGCCCAAAAAAGACACGAAGACCTGTGAAGGACAGGTTCACACAATGGTAGGACCCTCCAAAGCCAAGGATGGGCAGGCAGGTCCCAGAGCTAACGGACCTGTCCCGGTACCTGTGCCCCAGCGAGCGAGTACAAGTGCCATGGACCCTGAACTCTGTCTGTTTCAGAGGCTCGGACGTGGCCAGGTCTTCTTGCGCCAATTCCTCAGGACTCTTCATGATCCTGGTGAAAGCTGTGTTCTCTCTCCGGAAGATGCAACTCCAACGTACATATAAAACTTCACCCACATGCCAAGCCCATGCACGAACACCCCCAGACTCTGAGGAACAGGAATCTCCATCGCAAAGTGTTGATCACTTCTTGAAACCTTTATGACATATTGTTAAAAATAGGAGAATGCTTCCAGTTTTAAAAGAACCGAAAATGCAGAGCTAGCAGACCCTGCACAGATGGGTAAAGCAGAGATTGTTTTCTCTCCGTTCTGGAGAGTCTTACCTCAACCCTACCTCTGGGTGAGACTTCTGCAAAGCCCACTCTGGCGCCCACAAGGTCCTAAGATTCTCCTTCCCAGCTTTTCATTACCCAGATTTGCCCTACCAAAACTCCAAGGTTCTCGGCAGCTTATCAAGAGTCAAGGGCTTAGGTTAAAGAAATGCAATTCTATTCTTGCTGTTGCTTCCCCCCCTTTATTGTTTTACTTTAGCTTTACTGAGGTATAATCGACATAAAATTGTAAGATAGTTAAAGTGCACATCATGGTGACATGATATCTGTATACGTTGTGAAAGGTTTCCCACCATCTACTTAACACATCCGTCAGTCCTCATATTTCTTTCATGTGCATGTGAGAACATTTAAGTTCTACCCTCTTAGCCAATTTCAGTTACACAGTACAGTGTTATCAACTGCAATTACCATGTTTTACCACCTCAACCTTATTCATCTTAGAGCTGAAAGTTTATACTTAAAGGAATACAATTATAATTGTAGACTTCCAGTCATCAGAGTGTGTATGTGTGTATGCATGTGCACTCGCGTGCACACATTAGTGTGATTCACAGCATTTCCCTTACCCCTAAAGTTACATACAATGTAACGGGAACTTGCATTGTCTCGACAGAGGGTTGACATACCCCAGAATCCTGGGTGTGGCAGATGCCATTGAATACAGGCAGAATTTCTCCCAAAGAAAGCAGATAGGTGGTACCTGCCTCCCAATCGCCTCTGTCAGCCTGGGCTTTGCATTTGGCACTCCAGGAAATACTACAAGTCTCTGCTGTCTTCATGATTTTCATGTCTTTCCACATCACCTTTCTTGCCACCCGCAGAGAAAGTGCTGGAATGGGCTCTTTAGAGAAAAGCGCTCCCTCCCCGTTTTGTGGCACAAAGTCAAGGCAAACTCCTGCACTCCTCCCTAGCACATGGGTCTGACATCCCTTGGACATGAAGGTGAATAGATTCCACAGCAGAGAAGAAAGTGAAGGGCTCAGTTTCTCAGGGAGAGAAATGCAGGAAGAGGCAGAGGCCCTACGAGCCTGCCTGGAAGACAGCCATGGCCGCCTCCTAGGGAAACCCCGAGGGAGAAATACAGCCCTGGGGCCGCTCTGCACGTGCTGCGAGGAAGACCTGTGCTCCCCCGCAGGACGTCGGGGTGAGTGTGCGCAGAACACACCCCCTTTCGGTTTTGGCTTCAGACTCTTGTGGGAAGATGCCCGTCCTTCCAGAACACTGGGATCTCAGACGGTCTTAGAGAAAATCATGCCGTGGAGAATCAGGCCAAGGGACATGAACCATATGG